CTGTTCTTTGACTTTGAATGTTGTCAAGAAAACAGAAATCATGAACCCAACTATGCATAGTCCAAAACGAAGCAGGAGAGGAGTGCATATTTAAAGGGATAATACGAAAAATGAGTTTTGTGAGTGGTTATTTACTAGGGAGCATGCAAACTGTATTGTATTAGCCCATAATTTTCGAGGCTATGACGGTTATTTTATTCAACAATTCCTACACAAGCATGGCGTTGATTTTCGATGTTATCAAGAAAAGGGGCCAAAATCCTTACCTTAAATGTCCCAATATTCAAGATTAAATTCATCGACTCTCTCAGTTTCATACCCAGGAGACTTGCTGATTTTTTAAAAACCTTTGGTCTCTATGAGCTTGCAAAAGATTATTTCCCTCACCTTTTCAACAAAAAGGAGAATGAACATTACGTTGGGCCAATACCTCCAAGTCCATTTTACTATCCTGATGGAATGATTCCTGATGAGAAAGAAAAGTTTTTGGAATGGCATAACAGTTAAAAGAAAACAATTACATGTTCAATTTCCAACAAGAAATTCAAACTTACTGTTGTTCAGATGTTGATATTCTACGACGTTGTTGCTTAGAATTTCACAAACTGTTTCGTCATGTTACGGGTATCAACCCGTTTGAGAAATGTCTCACCATTGCATCAGCCTGCAATTTGGTGTTTCGAATGAATTTTCTGAAAGAAAATACTATTGCGGTATTGCCGTCATCCCCCCTCATGGCTATCGTCCGAAAGACAAGCAATCGACTCTTGCTCTAAAATGGGTAACCTATCCTGCCGAAAAGAATGATATTTACATCCAACATGCCCGCAATGCCGGTGAGAAACGTGTTGGAAATTATCTGCTGAATGGTTATCATGAAGAGACCAACATAGCCTATGAAATCAATGGTTGCTTTTGGCACGGTAGGTTGTTAACCTCATCATTTCTTTCTATGCTCATGTCTAATATTTTGTTTATTAAACTTTTGCAGGATGTTTAAAATGTTATGCCAGAGATATGTTGAACAGTGTTAATGGTAAAACCATCAAGCTACAATGGAGAAGACGAGTTACCTGAGAGATCAGGGCTTTATTGTTGTAGAAGTATGGGAGTGTGACATCATGCAAGTATTAAAATATGACGAAAATATGAAGAATTACTTCAAAAATTACAATATAGTTGATCCTTTAGAACCTCGTGATGCTTTCTTTGGTGGTCAAACCAACGCTGCCAAACTATTTCACGAATGCAAAGATGGCGAAAAAGTAAGGTGTTGTATGAATCTTTGATTAAAGTACAACTTTTAATGTACAACTTTATTGTACAACTATTAACGACTTTTTATCATGACGTCATAAAGACGTCAGCTATTTAGATTTCACTAGCTTATATCCCTGGGCAACCAGACCCAGTGTACCCATTCCGACTTCGAAAGAGCTATTCAAGGTGACTGTGGTGCAGTGTTGAGTTAGAAAAGGCCGTAGAAAAAGGTTACGTAACCTTGCAACTCCACAAAGTATGGCATTTTCCACAACAATCTGAAGAACTGTTTAAAGATTATATCAATACGTTTCTGAAAATCAAACAGGAAGCGAGTGGGTATCCAAAGAACTGCACAACAGAGGAACAGAGACACCTTTACATTGAAGAGTACTACGAGCGAGAAGGAATCCGTCTGGACTCATGCAAAATCGAGCATAATCCTGGGCTTCGTGCATTGGCAAAATCGATGTTGAATTCATTTTGGGGTAAGTGTAATGCTACAAACAATGCAGTACACAGTAATCTTTTTTTCCTTGTCATTGACGAATTTTATCTCACTTTTTAGGAAAATTTGCACAACGTCCTAATATGACGAAAGTAGAATTAATAAAAGACCCACAAGTTTACTTTGAGTACCTAACTTCAGATGAAATCAACGTTCTCGACGCAAAATTCATGAATGATGAATTGATCGAATGAATTCATTAAGAGAATAACGAAAATTTCATCCCACCAAATTCAAAAATGAATGTTGTCATTGCTGCTTTCACCACTGCCTACGCTTGCCTCAAACTCTACGAGGTTCTGGACCAACTTCAAGAAAGAGTTCTGTATTACAATACTGACTCAGTGATATTTGTCAGTAAACCTGGTGATCCAATGCCTTCCACTGGTCCGTACCTCGGTGATATGAGGTATCACATTGAATTACACCGCAAGGCAAAATGTTAACTTTGAGGTGATTTGTGCTTTGGTATACCTTCATGCAAAGATTACTCGAAACACCAAAACAAAGTATATAGAGACCAAACGAATGAAAAAGGACTACTGTATGGTATATTACAAACGTGTTATTATTGATGAATACAAAACACTTCCTTTCGGATTCTAATTACATAGAACATTTTTGTAAAACTAGGCTATATTGTCTTTATGAAAGTTTTATATGTTTAAACAAATGTCAATAAATGAAGTGTTGCAGATTTAGAGTGTTATTATTAGAGTCTTTCTCAATTCTTTTACATTTTGATGTTTCCCTTGCTTTTCGGATAATCACCAATTTGATTCGTTGGAGTACCATAGAATGACTAGTTGTTTTCTTGATTTTGGATTCCTGTATCTTATGCAGTTTTTATGACCCTTAATATTTTTCTTCTTTTTAATTTAATGCCACTTTTCTTTAGATCATTTATCCCAGTTGATTTGGGGCATAAAACCTCTTTCTTTAAGGATGCTTTAGGAGAGAGCGACTTGTGTGCACACTTGGATGGCAAGTTGCAAACTGAGGATACAGTTTAAAGTAATGTCATTTTATACAAATGGTTTTCATGATTACAGTAAACACACTTATTACAAAAACCTAAAGGTCTCTTCTTTTAGCAATCGTCTTTGATCTGTACAAAAATTACTTCTCCAATCATCACATGTGTACTTGAACAGCTCAGGACCGTCTATACACCGTCTTTGGGTTTCAGTAAAAGCCTCTGTGACCTTTGTCTTCAAGATTTTTGACAATGTCTCGTCGAAATACATACATAACTGTTTGTCCTTTTCCATAGTGAGACGTTGATTATTTGTCTGAGATAAATTTTCCATAATACAGCAATCACAATTTTCAACCACAAGTTGTGATATCATCATTGATATCTCTTTTGCATAACACTTTAGCAGTTTGTTTTTGATACATTTTAGACGATGATTTATCAAAAACATTTTGCTGTCCATATCCACAGGTTTGTATGGAGACATCTTTCTTTCACAGTTCGATCGTTTTTTTAATGTTACGCATGTTTTATACCACACGTACATGGTCAACATATTCAGTGTGAGACAAGACCCATGGTGTAAACATGGGTAATTCCTTTAGAAAAAGTCAAGAAAATCACAACAGGCAGAAGATGTTTAGGTTAGGCATAAGCTTTGGTCGCAACGGTAAAACAGTAAAACCATTAAAAACTACAAGCCAGTCGACAATGTGGAACGAGACATTGTTCAATTGCAAAGTGAGAGGCATGAAAGTATTGAAAACGTCGACCAGTAAAAGCCAATCCCTCATTTCACGCCTGAACATGAACGAAAACTTATCTAGTGTTTATTATAATCCTAAGCGTACTGGAGGGTTTGGTGAAGTGAATCGTTTGTATGATGATGTTAAAAAGGAAGGAAAATTTAGAATAAGCCAGAAGAAAATTGTTGAAGTATGTTCTCGTATATCCGATTAAACAAAAATAGACTAGTGATGATTAATGTAATAAAGACTAACCATATAGACTAACCAAAAATAAGACCACAGTAATCGAAAATAGATTCAGATATAAATACATATATATAAATAAGTGTAGAGAAAACTATGTAACCAAAAAGGGATACTCGGACTGAACAGTCACATACCATACCATAAAACTATATTCATTCTCTTATGAAAACTGTATTCCATTTATAGTAAAATAACTGTGTAAAGATAGATTAATCCAAATTGCTGTTATCATATAAATACGAGTGACTCTTTAACAAATACATTAGATGAAAAAGCTTCCAAACCTTGTATGTTGTGCTTCTGACCCAAGAGAGAGATGGCAACATTACGAAACTTAACAGGTTATGAGCCCAGGAAAGGGCTAATCTTCGATGAAGACGAAAGCAAGTATGAGTTATGGAAAGTTAAGTTTTTGGGGTACATGAGACTCTAGAAGCTTTACCAAATATTCATCCCTCCTGAAAATGAGGAAGAACTAGATGCGGCAAAGAATGCAGATGCATTCGCCGAGCTAGTCCAGTGTCTGGATGATAGAAGTCTGTCTCTTATAATAAGAGAAGCAAAAGATAATGGTAGGCGAGCCCTTGGCGTTCTTAGAGAACATTACCAGGGAAAAGGCAACATTACCAGAAATTTGCGACAAAATGGCCTCTGACTTTGCTTTTTAATGTATTCATATCGTTCAAAATGGCTGCCCGTTTATTAGGAATTGTATAGGAGAAATAAACATAATCAAAATTTCGATGTTTGTGGTAATATGTGTACAATTTGCCGACCTCTTAATGAAATCAACAACACCCCCTGAATAATGTTGAATATTATTTAACGAAATTGAGTATGCACACGACTCGCAAACTCAAAGTTTATGATAATAGATTTCCCCTATTAAAAACAGACATATTTGCGTTAAAATGCTAAAATCGCCTACTTTCTCTGCCCAACAGCCGATTCCCTAATCGACGAATATCATCTGCCGACCTCTGGTAAAAATCATCCATATAAATACTACAAATATCACCAAATATAATCCTTTATAAACTGACACACGATCCGCAAAACTTTGTTGAAAATACCAATAATTCATGGTCCAGACAACAACATAATTTAGCGACATGCACAAACGTTTTGTAAACATCTTTTAAGCAAAACTAAAACGACCCTTCAATATATCTCTTCTGGCAGCCATGTTTACATGTGTATTTTTAACCGCTTAACAGTGCCACAGTGGGCTCTTTTCCTTATTTACCCGCGGTTTTTCAAAATGTTGTCAAGGTTGACTTGTCATGAAGACAACAATTTTAAAAGAAATTTGCATATTGTCGAACCTCCTCTTTCATATATCAGGAAGCAGAATGCAAACAGATTTGAAATTGCGTTTGCTGTGGAAATTTCATATATTTTATTGCAATTATGGCATAGTATGGTCAACAGAAAAGATAGCGAAGGTAATTCGTCTGATTATATTGACATGTTGAATAGTTCCATCCCATGCAGATGGTTCCAGATAAGCAGAACAACTGGGTTTAGAATTAATGGGAGATTGCGACGAGAAGCCGGTGCTGTTGTGGCAAAGTATAAAAATGCTGGAGGTGGGAAAATCAAACAGCTCAATGACAGTATATTTACATTGAGCATTTTAGTGAGTGAATTGGAATCAGTTGGAGAGGTACAAGATGACTTGAATCAAGCTAATATAGAACTGAAGGAGTGGCGGGAAAAATGTGAAGACTTGCAGAAAGAGAAAGAAACTTTACTGAAAGAAATGGCAGAGGCATTAGCCAGGAAAGATGAAGAAATAGAAAGTGCAAATGAACAAGTCTTAAATTACATTGAGAAAATAGCACAGTTGGAAAAATCAAATTTTGTTTTGCTTAATTTTGGTAAAAAAATTAACCAGCTGGGTAAACGACAAAAACTAAGAAGAATAAAGGAATTAAAGGATAGGGCGGACATTGCATTGTGGTTTCTTCAAACCCATGGGTTGGAAGTGTCCTGTCTTAAAATGAAGGAGTCTGAAACAGGAAACGTATTTACATTTGATTATAATGAGAAAATTACTCCAGATGACGATGAAAGCCTTGAAGAGCTTTTATTTTTGCTTGACAAGTTTTGTGCAAGTGATGAACTATATCATGAGCTAACAGTATTCTGCGATGATCTTCCAAGATCATATTTAATTAAACAGAAGCGATCTGACCTTAACAAACTCTGTCATGTCGAAAGTGTCCCAGGCAACTTTCCAGGAGCACAAATTTCATTTTCTACAACACTTAAAGGACACATAAAGCAATTTCTTGAAGATCACCCTGACTATTCACTGAATGAACCAATAAAGGTTAAAATAAGTGGTGACGGTGCGAAAATGTCCCGAACCACTAATTTTATGCTTTTGTCATTTGCATTATTGCAAACTGGTGATCGGGTGATGTCCTCTAAAAGCAACAGAACAATATGCGTAGTTAATGGCCCTGAAAAGTATGACACTTTGAAAGTATCAATGAGAGATGTCCTCAATGATATTAATACAGTTATACAAAATGGCGAAGTAAAGGTAGATGAAAAAGAAGTTAAGATTGAAATGTATCTAGGGGGGGATTACAAATTCTTGCTCATGATGAATGGGCTAAGTGGTGCATCATCAGATTATGTATGTCTTTGGTGTAAGGTATATAAACTTCACAGGTGGGAAATGTCTAAAGATCTTGATTTTTACAATACAGGGTCTGTAAAGAGAACTCTGTTGGAAATAAAAGATTTCCAGACCTCCAAGAAATGTTGCTGTATCAATCCCCCCTTGCTTGACATTGAACTTGATCATGTTATATTGGATGAACTACATTTGTTGTTGAGGATTACAGACAGGCTAACAGAAAATATAATAAATGAAGTCATGCAGAGAGATAGCAAAGCTGATTTCACAAAAAAAAGTGGAGAAGAAAAGGGAATTTACCTCAAACGACTTGTTTCTGTTATTAATGAGCTTGGTATTACTTTTGCAATTTGGGAAAAAAGGAATGCGGATGGAAAAGGTAGTGGTAGTTACGACTGGACTAGTCTGGTTGGCTCTGAAAAGAAAAAACTTATCCAACTCCTACCTCTTCAGCTTGAGACAAGGGATATTTTATTTCCAGAAACCAGATCTACCATAGTGAAACTGTGGAGAGATTTTGGCTCTCTCTACAAACTTATAAATACATCTGAGAGGCATGACAACCTTTTTCTCGATATCTTTCAACAATCAAAGCAATTTATCGAGTTATTTTGTTCTCTTGGTGGTTCTAGACTTGGGTATAATAAAGCGCGTGTTACACCCTACATGCATTCACTTGCTTACCACGTACCAATATTTATTAGAGATCACATATCGTTCAAGCAATTTACAGGGCAAGGTGTTGAAAGGAACAACGATGATGCAAAAAAGGTATTCTTCCAGAAATCCAACAAGTGGGATGGTGCTAGAGATGTTTTACTATTGGAAGCAAGACAGGAGCTACTTCAGAAATGTGAAAGAAAGAAACGAAAATATGAAAAACAGAACCATGATTATTGGGAAAAAGGAATTGTTGAATCTCAGAAAAAGCGAGTGCGATCCACAAGCAAAGCTATTGAATTGAACAATGAAAATTCAAGTACTGTTTTGAATGCACCACACACTGGTTTGAATGAAGAGCAAACCATTGATTACAAGAAAATGACAGTTAAACAATTAAGGCAAGAAATTAAATCAAAACATTTGCAAGTAAAGGGACTATCCAAATTGAACAAAAATCAACTTATAGATGTTTTAAAGGAATCTCAGACACTGTAAGTGATATATGCTTGACTTAACCCATTAAGCTCCAGAGCTTCCCAATTGACAAATAAAATCATCTGGTGTTCGTCAAGAAAAATATTAGGGTGCACTTGGGCTTAATGGGTTAATATACTAAGGTATTAGGTATACCTTGGGGTGTATTGAGCACTCTCTTAATAATTATTATTTATGGTCGATTACATGAATATTTCAGCGCAGGCAACAACTTGCCATGCAATTTACAAATGTTCAGTTCAGTTAACCGTATTGGAATTCAGGCCAAGCTGAAATTGAAAACTCCTAATGTAATCCGTATTATTGATAGTAATAGTTTGGCCTAATGAAAGAAGATTCCTTGGTTTAGTTTGTTACAGTAATATTGTAACCAGAAATTTTAGAAGAACATTTTCCCAATTTTATTATACAACATTTATGCACATTTACAGGTTAACACAACATTTTGTTCAATAGATTTCAAAAACACTTCAGGTTTATGTTTCTGCTATAGAGGCTGCTTTCCTGTTGACAGACATTGATATCTTTTCTAAGGGTATTAGAGGCCCCTTTTCAAGGGCCCCTTTGTTACCAACAATATAACGCTTTGGGTGAAATTTTAGTATAGGCTTCAATTTAACTGGAAAATCCACTGCGACACCCTGGCCCAATTCATCTAGATAATAGTCCCAAAATGGAGGCAAGCAGAATCTTGAAAAATCCTCTTTTTCATACAGCATATAGCAAGCACTAGCACTGATCCCCTTATTCCTGAACACATATCTAATGATATCGTTGTCTATTGGAACTTTTGTAATGAAGTTGGCACGGCATGACTTGGACTTCAAAATACCAAGAACAGCTTCGACAAAAGTTGCAGCTGCTGCATCTAACCGAGATTTGGTTATATTTGGTTCGGTGTAACTCCTTAAATAAAAATTGGCATTTTTAGAACAAAATTCAAGCCAAGGCCCAAGTACCGGTACTTTCTCTGAACATCCCAGCGGCATTGCCAGCTTGGATAAGTTAAGGGACATATTCATATATTTGTGTTCACAGACCATAAAAACAATCGATTTTAAAAGAAATTAATAATGCAAAACACAGATAATAAATATGCCCCCCTCACTTATCGAGGTGGCGACACCACAGGAACATCCCAAAGAAACAACTAGAAACATGTATATTGGATGTACATGTATATTTTTTCATTGACCCAAGGCAATTTGTATACTCAAAAACTAAGATTAAGTTTTTGAGAGCGTCAAAGAATCAAAATATATACATACAACCTTCTGAATGTTCAGATTAATTTAGTTGTGGAGACCAAGAATGACTAAATACTTGCCCTTCTAGTTAATATAAGTCTGAGAGTCAAATATTCTATAAATTGAGCACAAAATCGCAGCATAAATGCAAAATTCATACGATATGAGCATACACTCAATTTGTCCGCTATTCCATCACAGTTTGCACTTACCTAATTGCACAATCATTCAAATGTCCTGCAGGTTCCCAACTACACGTCCACGAAGGCCAGTTCTCCTTCATCTCCCTAGCAAGGTAAATGTTTGAAATCCGACGTGATATACAAACACGCAGACGATTTGTACCAAAAAAATTGTGTTTGTATACTGTATATCATATGGCATATGTGTTTATATAAATATAGAAACATTTATAATAATTTAAACAGATTATACCTCTTTCCCTTGCCGTTTAGATATAATTCTCTCCACTTTATAAATTTTCCTCTGCTTGTGAACAGATCGATGGAATAAATCAGCAGAACATAAGTTGTTCAATATTTTATAATCAATATTTGCCCGTGGCCTCTGTTGTTCCGCCATCTTGAAAATTTTGGTTGTTGTGAGCATGCTCGTTAGCGATTTCATGTATCCGCATACTAAAAATTCGCAGGCGCGGAATGTCGCAAATTTCTGGTAATGAGCCAAGAATCATTGCCTTATATACGCAGGGAATTAAAATATCGGTCGGTCACAGGACATTGTCCAACCCATTTGTGAAATTGTCCGACGTAAAGGGAAAAGCACCGGACATTCTGTCAGACCAAAGAAAAATTACCTCACAAAGTCTACCGTAGAAAAGTGGAAGTCTGATTTATCAGAATATTCGGCAGCGGAATGGTTAACATATGATGTTGATGCTGAAGGAAAGGAATCTTAAATGTAAATTTTGTATCATGTTCGAAGACAAAATCAAGAGCTTGCCCAATTACTCAGACATCTATATCAAAGGTTCAACGAATTACAGAGTTTCAGCAGTAAAAGATCACGCAAGGAATATCAATGGTGATCCACAACATCATCACACCGTAGCTCATGGTTATTTTCTGAAGGCCATGGAATAGAAATCGAACAGCGCGCAAACAAAATTGCAAAATCCTTCAACAAAGAAAATACTGATGTAGTGTCTGGGTTACAAAATCACAATAAAATGGATCCATCTACGTTACGAAAAACTAAAACTAAGTTCGAGACCGCATATTTCGTGGTCAAACAAGAATTACCCATCAGTACATGCAAAAGCATTCTGAACCTAGAATGTAAACATGGAGTTGAAATTGGTTCAAAATACCTTACAGATCCATTGGTGGGTACTTTCATAGACTTTATGGGGCAAGAACTTAAACACCAACTGAATGCTGATTTAGCAAAAGCCAAATTTTACAGTGTATTATGTGATAGATCCATGGATACCACTACCGTAGAAAATGAGGTATATTATAAGCTTTGTTCCCTTTTCAAAATGGGGTGCAACTTTTTCCTTTTTGATTGACATACGACTTATTGAAATGCGTCGCATAACCTCGATTGAATTCGACAGATGAGTTACATTCGTCTAACTCAGATGGCTAATGCAAAGAAAACGCATCTTCGAGTTATGCTATATAAATTAAAATAACTCGAAGACGCATTATGTTGCACAGTTTTATGCGATGTATATTCAACATATCTCGCAATGTAAAACTCAGCCTGCGCTGAAAACTCCCCATGCATGTATTAATAGACTCCTTAATTTGCATTGAGTATATATACTTTAGATTCTGCACCTGTTTCTAGGTAATCTACAGTCTTCATTTTGATCCACAACCTGTTGGATCCGATTCCGTGGAAGTAAAACTTTCATTCTTATGTGTGAAACAGGTAATTTGTTTGTACAATGTCAAGTTGTACATTTGTTCATGGGTATAATTTTCAATTCTGCCTATTGAAACAAACAGTATTTGTTAAGTTTTAGTAATGAATATTAAGGATCTACTTAACCAATGGCATGAGATCATGGATTTTGCTGTCGAAACGATCGGAGTGACCGGCCAATCATATCTTATCACATGGCGTAAGATATTTGGTGCACCAAGGAGTATAGGATGGAAAGATGCGCTTATCTTAGTCGAACTGTTATTTACTATCCCTGTATCTAAGGCCAAGTTCGAGAGAATGTTTTCCAAATTGAAGCACATCAAAACAAATTTCTGTTGTTCCCTTTCCCTCCAGAGGTTGGAAAACATTCTACGCATACTGGAAGAAGGTCCGACATGGGAGGAGTATGACCCACTGCCCGCCATTGAATTATGGAATTCAGCGAAACAACGGGGGCCACACAATGAGAAAGGAAAGCGAACATATACGGCACGCAAATCACACATCTGACTATGTCGTCAGATGAAAGCAACTGCGAGACTGCAGAAAAAGAAAGCCATGAAAGTAATAAAGACGACGAAGACGTGCAGGAAGAAAGTACAGAAGAAACGGAAAGTCAGAGTTTATTCTTCGATTCTGAGGAGGAACCATAAGAAACTATAATTAAACTAGAAGAACTATAATTAAAGATGATATGAACTATAGTGAACAATAACTTTGTGTTTGCGAAAAACAAAAAAGGCTTGCTGGGCTGTGTTACATTTGTAAAAAGTCTTCACATTATTAATTACACATATATAATTTATAGATAATGGACTGATATGATCTATTCTTCATTTTAAAAATGAATTTAGATTAAGTGGGCAATGAATTCTTGCAGCACTTTTAGGTGGCATACGATTCGTTTCAGTTGGCGCAATTTTTAGTTTTCAGAATTTCTCAAAGTGTTATTGTTCTACTTGCAAGCGTGGTTACGATCTTAAACAAATACATTTTTGCGCCAAACAAAACATAAAGCCAACGGACATAAAATTAAAAATGTCTGACCCATTCTGAAAGGCACCGGACATTTTGGCGGACGACACTGCTGACCGATATTTTAAGGCCTGTATACGGAACTGACTTCCTTGAAGATGGCAGAAAATGAGACTAACACAGAGTACATTATACGTGCAGAAACGGCTGTGACATCACTGAAGGCCGCTGAGGAAGTTATTAGCAAAGGATTGTTGGTCGCGATGGCACTCAAAGGTTTGCCTGCAAGCTACAAAACATTCTCCACGGTCGTAATACAGCGGGAGAAACAAATGACTTTTGCTGAATTTAAGATCGCTTTGCGAAATTACGAAGAGAGCGAGAAAACCAACAGAAAAGAAAACGCGAAGGACAACTTATGTACGTGAACCAAAAGCATAGCATAGCAGGCAGAAATTTGAAGGGAAGTGCTTTAAATGCAACAAGAAAGGACACAAGAGCTCTGATTGTTGGATGAGAAGTGTAACAGATGCAAGACTAACGCCTGTATTCTAAAAGCTCACTCACACTCAAACTCATTGAGTGGGAGATCTTAATCTGCTCATAACGTTTCAATGGCGGTATTTCCAGCCGAATAGGGGCTTGATTTTCAGTTATTTACCTTATATCTTTCCATCTATTAAGAAAAAACTTTCTCATTGATTAGCATTAACGAAATTTATATGTCACACTCAATGAGTATGAGTGTGAGTGAGCTTTTTGAATACAGGCGTAAGACCCACAACACGAAGGATTGTAGAAAAACGAAAGACAGTGCGAACATGGCAGCAGAGACACAAACATTTGCACTTACAGTAAAAGATCATGTAAATAGAGATAAAAGTTCACGAGGTAAGGTCGCAACAAATTTATCAAGTAGATATTGGGGCAACAAGTCACATGATTAATGATAAGTCAAAGTTTGTTAGTTTTGATGATAAGTTTAACCCCACTAACCACCTAATCGAACTAGCCGACGGCAGTAGGGCAAACGTAGTTGTTGGTAAAGGAGTCACCAAAATGAAGATGTACCACGCCTCAGGTAAAACATATTCTCGGTCCCTGCAGAAATAGAGGGGCTTGCATTAATTTAGGCCAACAGGTAAGTCAGTATAAGGACCTTGAAGGTGTAGTGTATAATATAGAGCAGAAAGGGCTTTTGTATTATTTGAACAGTATATCTTCATCACAAAATGCTGCTTCATCTCAGATGGAATGGCATAAGATACTAGGCCACTGCAATTTAAATTATGTGCGCAAGCTTCAGAAAGTGGTTAAGGGCATGAAAATCACCGATGACGAAGGTGATAAGCATATTGATTGTAACATCTGTACACAGGGCATTAGAATTTGTGCATTGTAATTTAGAGCTTATTGAGACGGAAAGCCGCAGTGGTTATAAATACGCTTTATCGTTAGTAGAAGATTACACAGGTGTTATGGTGTATTTCTTAAAGCAAAAAAGCCATACTGTTGAGGCAACCGAAAAAGTTCCTAGCCGATACTGCTCCTTTGGTAAAGTCAAACTAATTAGGAGCGACAATGGAACTGAATTTACAAGTCAGTTCTTCAAATCTTTGTTGCGTAAGAATGCATGAGACTAGTGCTCTTTATTCCCCACAACAAAACAGGATGGTAGAGCGCGCATGGAGAAGTTTATTCAGCATGGCAAGATGTCTATTAATCAAAGAAAAATTATCCAAAATGTTGTGGACATGTGCCATATTAGCATCGGCATATATTAGGAACAGATGTTTTCATGCAAGGTTAGGAAAAACTTCATATGAAGCCCTCACGAGGAAGCAACCAAACCTGGGTAATATGCATGTTTTTGGCACTACTTGTGATGCATATGTACAGAATGCAAAGAAATTAGATGCACACAGCCAAAAGGGTATATTCCTGGGATACGACAGAGGAAGTCCAGCGTACTTAGTGTTTTACCCGGAAACAAACAAATTAGAAAAGGTCAGATGTGTAAAATTCATGGATAAGCTTGATCAAGTTACCACTGACCAGGAGGTATTTCATAGGGAACCAATTGAAATAGATAAAGAGGAGACTACAGTGCATGAACCGGTTCAGGAAACAGTGGAAGAAAGTAGCAATGAAAACCAAGCAAGGTACCCGACACAAGCTAGGAATAGGCCAAGTTATTTAAGCGAGTATGTTGTAGATGACGTAAGTTACTCTGTAGATTATTGCTACAAAATAGTAAACGTGCCTGAAATTCCAGTGAATTACCAGCAGGCGGTAAAATCGCCTGAGGCAAGTAAATGGCAAAAAGCTATGCATGATGAGCTTAGTGCATTGGAAGATAATAATACATATGAATTGCTCCCAACCCCAAGCGACCGTCAGATAGTGGGAGGGAAATGGGTTTATGCGATTAAAACTGATCAAAACAGTGATAAAACTGAAAAAATGACCATTCATCAAATGGACGTTAGGACTGCATATTTAAATGCGCCAATAGATTGTGAAATTTTATTGAACAACCAGAAGGTTTTGAGAAGCACGGTGAAAATGGAGAAAATTTAGTGTGCAGATTAAATTAGTCTTTGTATGGGCTAAAACAAAGTGGGAGGAATTGGAACAACATGTTGCATGAATACCTGGAATATGAGAAATTTGTTCAATCACACGCTGATTCATGTGTGTATATGTGCGAG